CTAATCCTGAGAAAGCCTTTGCTGCATGTCTGGTGCCTGCCCAAGACTGTGGACATGCACTTCATGGAACTCCCACGAGGCGAGGGTCCCCCTGCCTTAACCTGCGAGAACAGGTTGCCTACGATCACACCGCTGGCCAGGAGCACAGCCAGGGTTCCAACGGGGGTCTCAGGCCAGAGCTTGTGCTCTGTCCACCATGCGAATTTAAACAGCTTTCAGAGTGTCTCCATTTGAAATCGTCTTTAGAGTCCCAGGGCCGGTGTTTCCTGCTCTTGTCTACCCCACCCCCTGGTGCCCAGTTTTACAGGTGCAATAACAGGTGATGATTATTTTTGCTCTTGCTTTGAAATCAGATAAGCTGGACTGAGTGCCCAGCTAGCCTAGACCCTGAGAGCTGGAGCTACCAGTACCCTCAGCTGCCCGGGGAAGCAGTGGGCTCTCTAGGTAAGTGCTGGGGCTTCCCACAGACACACCCTGCCCAGTACTTGCACATGCAGCGTTCAGATACATGTTTTATGCACACGCAAGACGTATCATGCAGAGACCCCTATCGCATGAGGGGGCACACGGGCAGCCAGGCCCAGGGACATGTGTACACGCTGCACCTGCCGTTGTGCAAACAAGGACACAGATCAGCACTCAGTTACAGGAACACACACAATTGCAGGCAAACCTCACCCGAGGTCCTCAGGAGCCACCCCTCCCTTCTCGCTGCTCCGCCAGTTCCTCACTGCCCCCTCCTGGCCACCCGGTGGCCAGGGCAACCTGGCACCGTTTCTGCTGCAGGTGGGGGTTGGGGGATGGGGGTGGCTCTCAGCAAGTTTCCTCCTAGGTCACGAGACTAGGAATAGTTTCAGGCGCTCTCCATGGACTTCCCCTCAGGCCTCCGAATTGTGGGTGTCTAGAGGGGCTTCTGAAACTTGGGGACATGCAAAAAGAATAAACTTCACATGCAAAGGAGTCTCAGAATGGAACTGTCAGTGCTGCAGTGCCAGGGCCTGCATAAACGCCCTCCCAGCTCAGCAGGCAGGCGCCGCCCTTACCTGGGGACTGTGCATGCACAGATTTAAAGAGGAGCAGCTCCTGGCTGAGGAGTCAGAGGTCTCCCAGCTCCCACCTTGCTGCTCCCTCTCTGGCTCTCGGCTTCCAGAGCTACTCTGTGCTAAGCTGACCTCGATGATGTATGTGGCGCCTCCTCTCGGAGCCTCACCATGCTGGGAACTAACACCTCTCTTAGACGTGTGCCTAAGTAAACTGGACCCCGTGGCCTTCTCCAACCAGTTCTGGAGGGTACCAACTGAGGAGTGGTACAGAGAGGCCCAGCAACTTGCCCAAAGTCACACAGCAAGTGAACAGCAGGCATGAGATAGAAACCTTATTTCCAATGCCCCAGGCAACCTACAAGAGAGTAGAGCTCCCTGTGGACTAGGGCCCAGAGCCAAGGAGACAGGGAGCATGGCAGCTAAAGCCAGAAACTCTGCCTTTCTGCCAGGGCATCCTGAAGGTTAAGGGTAAGCCAGAGGAGGCTTAGGTCTTAGCATGGAGGCTGGGAAAAGGCAACTCGGAGCTTGGTGGGTTCCACCACTCCCCACCTCCACCAGCAGGCAGTAAAAACCCTGGCCTCCCTTATGCACACCAGAAGCAGCGAAAGTGGGTCCTCAGTCGCCTGTGGCAGCTGTCCGTCAAGGTAAGTATACGCAGGTGAGTAGTGCTACCTCGCTGGGCCCCACAGCCATGCACTCACACATGTGGATGTGTGTCTGGCCTGCCTACACTTATACTTAGTGCGTTCGGAGGCATGCTTTACACGTAAGTGTGTATTTGCAAGTCTGTGTGCGTGGGGCTGCATTTGTGTGGTTAAACAAGGTATGTTTGGATATACACATACAAACGGTCTCTGCACACGTGGCAGGTGGATTTAGGCACATGAGGATTCTGCTGGCATGTTCACAGGGCTTGCTCAAGAGTGTACATGTGTATGTGCAAATGTTCATTTGAGTGGAAAGGGGTGGAACATGTCTGTGTACACAGCTAGAGAGAATGTCAGTGTGCGTGCAGGGATGGCTGCATGTGACAATGCACACACACTGTAGGGGTGCCCTCACAATGGAGTATGATGCCAGTGTTCCCCCTAGCCCTGGAATGGGGGGTGCCCTGGCTGGCTCCAGCCAAACTGGGCTCACTGCACCCCTACTGCCCCCCCAACTATTCCCCAGACCAATCCTGCTTGGCCAATTTGCAGCCTCTCGCTCCCAGCTCCAGAGAAGGCCTGCAGCAAAGTCAAGGGGCTGGTGGCCAATTAGCGAGGGGGTTAATCAGGGATCTGGGGACCCCCAGGGGGCGGGAAGCCTAAGGCAGGCATTGGGGTTGGCAGGAGGATGAGCTGCCTGTCATGAGGCTGGGGGAGACTGAGCTGGTCTCTTGGTGCTGGAAGCCAAGTCTGCCTGTGAATTCATGATTGCTGAGCGCTGACAGGCATGGGGGCCTGTGTGCCTGTGTCTATACTGTGTGCAAAAGGGTTCGCATGTGCATTCAAGTCCCTGATGTGCTGTGGTTACATCTGTATACACGTGTGCACTTTGGTGTCTGTCTATGTGGGTGTGCAATGGTAGCAAATGAGCTTGGGTATGCAAGCGTGTCCCATGCACAAGGGCTTACAAAGGGGAGTGTATCTGTGTGTGCACATGTGTGCAGGTGCATGCACATGCATTTAATTCATGCTCCTGCAGGCAGACCTGTGCGTGGGATTCTCATGGTCTCTGTACATGCGTGCAAGGACATATCCACATGCACAAGTGTGTGTGCAGATCCCTCTGGGTAGACAGGCATGTCTGGATGTATGTGCTTGTATTTTCTGAACAGCCCGGTGCCTGCACCCTCACGTGTGTCTATGTGTGCCCACATGTCTGTGTCTAGGTGTGCCCCTGTGCCCACAGGAGGGGATGCGGGGCTGGCGGCCTCCAGCTCCAGGAGAGAATCTGACAGACGAGCCTTGCCGCAGCCCCCGGCCCGGGGAGCCTGTTTTCCAGCCTGCGGAAGCTGTGAGCCCGTGAACTCATCTTATATTAATAGCTGCTGTCTCCTCACTTATTGCAGGGAGAGGCGGTCATGGCCCCGGCGGGGGCTCAGCACTCCGGGCTGCCCCTCCCTCACACAGGACCTGGGAGAAGGGGAGGAGGGAAGGCCCCACCCCCACCCCAGAGCCCACCCCAGCAGGAAAACAGGGCTCTTGCCCCTCCCTCCCCCAATCCAGGGAGCCCCACTGCCAGGCTGGCCCTCCGGGGCCTCTGTAGCTGAGTGGGATCAGGCATGGGGGTTGGAAATCTGGAGAAGGCAGAGACTAAAAGGTTTGTCGACCCCCCAACTAAGCACGTGTGCGCGCGCGCGCACACACACACACACACACACACACACACACACACACACACACACACACACTGGCCTGCAGTGCTAAGCAGCCCCAAGCTGAGCATCAGATGCGTCTGAGGCTGAGACTGGAGGCTTCAGGCTGAGGGGGCAGACTTGTCCCATCCCTCGAGCACCCACACTGGGAGGGCAGAAGCCTTCAGGGATCCCATTCTAAAGGGAAAGGCAAGATTTCTCCATGAACGTTTGTTTGGAGCAAGTGTGGCAAGGTGTGTTGTCTGAACCACATTTTCACAGCCACAGGAAGGTTCAGCCAAGGAGGCTTCCTGGAGCAAAGCCTCCAGGGAGGAGGACAAGGTGGCCCTGAACTGTACCTGTGAATCCCAGGGGGCGAGAGAAACCAGCCAGCCCCACCGCGCACACAGCCTCCACCCCAGCAGATTCGGTGCCCCCAGGGTAAACTCAGGGCCCAGGGTGGAGACCCCGGTGCAGACTCTCAGAAATGCGTCAGACCCACCACACAAGCACAGCCAAGACCAGGAGCTCCCACAGCAAGGGGCGCTTCCCAGATGCCACCTGGGCCTGCGGAGCCTGCAGCCGGGTATGGAGGTAATAGCCAAGCCCTGCCCAGGCAGGATGGGCACCTGACTGCTCCTTCTGGACCTTGGAGGTGCTTCCGGGGAGCCTGTGGGAAGCAGCGTGGAGGTCCTTTCCCTACACTGCCCCTCCCAAAGGCCCCAGGGGCAGCTGGAAACCCCATTTTCCCCCATCCTGGGGTCCCTCCCTCCTGTCCCAGTATCCTTGCCTGCTGTTTGGGGACTGTTCAGAAACCCACTCCCTCACCCAGAAAAGAAACGGATGATTGGAGTCAAATGGACCTGCTTTCAAACCTCAGCTCGACTCCTTTCTGTGTGCCTTTAGGCAAATCAAATGCCTCCTCTCACTCGGGCCTTTTGTGGGCGCCCTCGTTTAAAGATGACACACTCCGCCCCCAGGCCCCGCTCCTACTTTATTTTTCTGGGGACTTAACACTCTTTGGCATGGCTGTATTTTTAGCTTATCTCTTTTTGATTGTCTCCCTGGCTAGAACTTCAGCTAGTCACAAGGACAGCAGTGAATGAATGAATGAATGAATGAATGAAGGCCCATTACTCTGAACCTCATTTTCCCCTTTGGTAAAATGAGGAGAGCAATAGACCGCCCGATGAGGTGCTCTGCCGCCGGTGAAATGCGGCCTTGAGGCTCCGCCTAAGCGCTGGGGTCTACCCCTTTTGTGCCTGCACTGGAGCTGCGTGTGGCTCTGCCCAGCTGCGGGTGGCATGCCCTCTCCCCTTGGATTCCAGTGGCCATTGTTGGGAAGGGCTCTTGAACAGCAGGCCAAAGAGCCCTGGCCAGGGAAACGGAGAAAGACCTGGGTCCATCCTGGTACACTGTGTGAGTCTGAGCAACTGGCTCTTCCTCTTGGGACCTTGGTTTCCTTATCTGTACAATGGGCTCGTGGACCAGAATGCTCTGAGTACCCCACTTATTGGCTTTGCTCATCTGGGAGGCCTGAGAGGCTTGTCTAGGCAGAGCTTCTCCTTGGTCACACCTCACCAGGGCCCAGTCTATCCACACACACGCACAGAAACATATTTATCACAAAATCATTTTTTATTGAGGGCTGGTCGGGGGCAGGAATAGGGAATGCACTGGGGGCCACACCCAGGTTGGCAGAGGGGGCCAGGTGTTGGCTCGCACCCTGCGTCCTCTAGGGCACTGCAGGGTGAGGCCTGACCCCCAGGCCATGGCTGTGGCCCTGGATGCCTGGCTAGAGTGGAATTGGGGTTGCTTGTCTTGGTCCCGGCTGCTTGACCGGGCTGCAGTTCCCCCAAATGGCCACCAGAGAGCAGCAGGCCCCCAGCACAGAGGAATTCTCGGTTGCTCAGGTGATGGCTTCTTAAAAAAATAAAAAACCAGAGGCTGGTGTGTTCCCCCTGCAAACCCGAGGGAGGGCGGGCCTGGGAGAAGGCTCTGGTTCCTATGATCTCTTTGATTAAAAAATAAGCAAAAATAATAACAAAATACATGGTTTCTCTTTCTCCCTTTCCCCCCTCTAGGAACTGAGGTCAGAAATGGGGGTGTGGGGACTGGGGATACCCTGGTATGGCCTGGATTTTAAGGTGTGGGTCTCTTTTTTCCCCTTACCACCCATAAATAAATAAATAGATAAATAAATAAACCATAAATAGAAACTCTCTCTGTATGTGCACATATAAACAGACCAATCTTTCTCCTATCGAGGCAACTAAGTGACTAACCTTTCTGATTCATTAGATTTGAAACATAAAAGTAAAGTGACATGGTCAAGGTCAAGGGGGAGGGAAGGTCAGGGACTTGGAATGGCACTGTGGAACGCCCAGCAGCTTTCTGGAACTCCGGGCCAGCTGGGCTGTGGGGCATTTCTGAGTGGAACCCTGACCACCTGAACATTCTAGAACCACAGAGCCAGCTGGGCCCTGCAGGGATCTGAACAGTATCCTGTGAAACACCCAATGTCCTAGAACTCCAGAGCCAGCTGGGTCTTGGGGTGTGGAGCTGGAGGGTTGGAACAAAGCCCTGGAGAACCTAACATTCTGGAATTCCATAGGATCAGGGCTGAAAGGTCAAGATGTAACTAGACATCACTGGGGGAACGGGATCGGAAGTGGATCTTGGAAGAGGAACAGCAGCAGCAGACAGCCCACAGCACCTTCTGCACGTCCTGGTTGCGGAAGGCGTAGATGACGGGATTGATCATGGAGTTGTAGGTGGCAGGGAGCAGGGTGAGATAGGTATAGAGGGGCGGGGAGTGGGCATCACCCAGCAGGCAGTAGACAGTGAAGGGAAGCCAGCAGGCGGCAAAGGCGCCAAGCACCACGGCCAGTGTGGCGATGCCCTTGCGGGTGGCCACGTAGTGGGAGGCAGGCAGCAGGTGCCGCTGGAGGGCAATCTGCTGGGCATGGCGGCAGACGATGCGGCAGATCTGGGCATAGAGCTGCAGCATGATGCCAAACACCATGAAGAAGGCAATGGCCAGGACCACCAGATGGTTCTTGGAGAGTGGATAAACCACGCCACACATGGCTGGGGCATCCAGGCAGTTCCAGGCCAGCACGGGCAGCAGCCCCAGGCCCAGCGCGCCCCCCCAAACTAGGGCCAGCATCACATAGGTCCGTGTCACTGTCGTCTCTGAGTAGTAGGTGAGGGCATTGTACAGAGAAAGGTAGCGATCGACAGTGATGGCCAGCAGGCTGCCGATGCTGGCAGTGAAGGCCGTTGCCAGCACACCAACCAGCACCAAGCTCATCTCAGCCGAGCCAATGCAGAAGACAGCAGCAAAGTGTAGGACCAGGCCCAGGCCTGCCAGCAGGTCTGCAACAGCCAGGCTGCCCACCAGCAGGAACATGGGGGCACGGAAGGCAGGAGTGCCCACGATGATGGCTACCACCAGCGCATTCTCACAGGACACGAGGGTGCCTGAGATGCACAGCACCACGTCCCAGGCCCTGGGTGAGGGCAGTGGTTCGGCCGGGCCTGTGGGCCCCTCCGCTGAGCCCACGCTGCTCACGTTCACGTTGCCTGGGCCAGCCGAGAGCCAGGCCAGGGGACTGCCTGCACCCCACGTCATGGTACCTGTAGGAGAAAGGCCCTGTGAGAAGCTGATGGGGCCGGGTGCTGGGGAGAGGGGTCTGGAGTGGGGGTGAGGTGCCCCTCAGGATACAAGGTGGGAGTCTCTTCTCAGGACACCTGGATGGGTCCCAAAGCCTTGTCCCTGCCATTCATGTCCCAGGGCCCTTCCAGGAGACCTTTGTTCTCTCTCATGCCCCCAGACCAATAGGGTCTTTTCTGGGGACCCATTTCCTGAGTGTGTCACTCTTCCTTCCAACTCCATGGGTCTGCAGGCTCCTTTCTCCCCTGAGTGACAGAGGAGGGCCAGATGAAGGACAACGACGAGGGGATGAGGGCCCACAGGACCCAGGAGATGCCGGGAGAGGCCCTGGACTGGGGGAGGGAAACATCTCAAGGCTACGGGCAGCTCTGCTCCCTCCCTCATCGGGGAGGATGACGCTCAGTTTCTAAGGCTTCCCAGACCCCTCACGACTCTCAGCTTGCCAGCCCCAGGCTCCGCCCCCAAGGCAAGCGCGTGAGGCTTGCGCCGGCCCCCACCCGCCCTCCTAACCACACCTGGGCATTCGGCTCTTCCCCGCGACACCCTCCCCAGCCAGCACACACCGCCCAGACTTCTGTCCCCCGACAGACCCCGCTTTCCGCCTGGACATCTGGGTCTCTGGCACAGACGCCGCTGGACCCCTGAGTCAGACTCCCCCTTCTGCCGGGACACCTGGCTCCTGGGCCTGACTCCGCCTCTGCCCGGAAGTCCCGGGCTGGGCAGACACCTGCTCGGACGCCCGGGGCGCTGCCCGGGGCGCCTCCTGCCGGCCCACCCTCGGAGGCCCGCAGTCAGCGCCCCCAGGGCCGCGGCCCTCGGGAGCGCTTCCCCTGCCCGGCACCCGCGGCGGCACCCGGACACTTGGGTCCCGTCTGCTCGTCCGAACTGGGCTCGGGGTCTCGACCTCCGACCTCGGCCAGCGGCCGGGAGCTTCCCCGCGGGCCCGGGGCCCCAGCATCCTGCGTGTCCTTGCGGGCACCGGCGGCCGCCGCGAGCCCCGTTACTCACCTCTCGGGACGGGGCGCGGCCGGGCCGCGGGGAGGCTCCGCTCGGGTCCGGACGGCGCAGCGTGTGCGCGGACCCCGAGAAGCCCCCGCGGCCGCGGGAGCAGCGGCGTGAGTCACCCCGCCCCGCCCCGCCCCCGGCCCCGGTTCAGTGACGTCAGCGGCCCGTCGGCCAATGGGCGCGCCGCGCTGGGGCGCACCGCGCGCTGCGCGGCGTGTAATGAGGCCTCGCGCCGCCCGCTCCCCCATTCATAAAAAGCGGCCGTGGCGGTGGCCCCGCCCCTCCCGGCCTCCGGCGCTGTCCTTGACGCGGCGCCCTCTGAAGGCGGGGTGGGGGGGCGAGGGGGGTTTCCGGGGCGCCGGTGGGAGAGCCTTGAAATCTCGGGGACGCTGTGGAGGAGGGGGGAGCGGAAAGGGGAGCCGACAGGCTGCGGGGCCGGGACTCTTGGGTGGCCGCCAGGCTAGTGGAATCCAGGTGATGGAGACCTAGCGGCGGGGCTGAATAGGGGTCCCTGGTGAGCGTGACGGGGCCCTGGGGTGACGGTAACAGGAGCGCGAGGGAGAAGGGAGGTGGGCGGCAGTGACGGTGTGAGCACAGTGACAGGATCTTGGGGGTTGATGGCTGCGGGACACTGAAGTAGAGAGGGACGCCACCACCGCAACCCTAGCGATGTCAGGGGGACTCTGTGGTGTGGTGGGGTTCAGGAGCCCCACGGTGGCAAGGGAAGCTGGGATGCCTAGGTGATGGCACTTCAGGTCACCCTGTCGCAGGGCTGAGTGAAGTACTGAGGTGACAAGGCTAAGTGCATAGTGCTGAGGCCTGCGGGGTGTTCGAATGAAGGCACCACATGACTGTGGCAAGTGGGTCCCAAAGTGAGTGGGACAGGGTGGAAGGTCGGACCGGCAGTGACCAGGCAGGTAAGATGCTGCCAGGGCAGGTGCTCGTGATAATGGGGCTGGGATAAGGAGCCTGGTGACGTCACTCGTGTCGGCCCAATAGCGCCCTCACAGCGCAGGAGGGGTGGACCTGGCAAGATTTCAAAATCTGAATTATTTATTCAAGGATCTGGAAAGCCAGCAGAGTGCTGTGGGGGGGCACTTCCCCGAAGCAGCAGGAGATGGGGAGCCGGGAAGGACTTGGAGGCAGAGAACCTGGCAGCTGAGTCCCCAAGGCAGGCCCCTCTCAACCTCCCATCTCAGGCATGCTGGCAAGCCAGGGCATGAAGAAAGAGCTCCCTCCTTCCCAACCCTGCTTACCCTTAGTCGGGGAAACCCCCAGCCCCCAAGCCCTTGCCTGCATCTCCAAAAGTGACCGATATGGCAGGCCCTGGGGGAGGGATATGGCTGCTGCTCCTTCTGATTCTAACTTAGATCCTTACTGGAATTGTCCAGGCCTGTGGGATGGGGGGGAATGTGGAGGATTAGATTAGGAGTTGAGGAAACCAGAGGGGTCCAGGTCCTGGACCCTACCAACTTGACTTCTCTCCACCACACAGCTCCCCATCAGTGTGGGGCAGGGGGATGAGGTGACAGCCAGCGGCAGGGTACATGGGAAGAGGAGAGGGGTGGGGCTAGGGAAGATGATGTACTTCAGGTTGGCTGTGGTGACTTTGGGGTGCCTGGTGGGTGGAGGTGGTCAGAAGGGTAAACTGGATTCAAATCCAAATTCCATTTCTTAGCAGTGTGACTTTGGGTGAGTTTTTAAAGTTCTTTATACCTGTTTTCTCATCTATAAGGATATATTATTATATCTTCATAGGATTCTTGGGGGGCTCAGCACAGTAGGAAGCACTGGTTGTGTTGGTGCCAATAGTGTATGTGGCAGGAGGAGGCCACGTGGGAGGGTAGGTGTGCAGGTGGTAACTGAGGTTCTAGGGCAGGTGCTGTTACTTAGGGGTGGGAGCAGAGGGTGAGGAGGAGCCCCAGGGAATCCCATACTGCACTGACTGTTCCCTCTACCTGAAATCTTTCATTTAGTTCAGGTCTCAGTACCCACATCACTTCTTCCAAAGCAGATCTCCCCAACCTCCATCCCAGATGAGCTCTCGTCTGCCCACCACTGTCTCCCCCATTCCCTTGATTGATTAGCTTTCAGAGCACTTAGCACTCCTGAAATCATATATATAGTTATTTTACTCTATGTCAATCCTACTAGAACATCAGTAGGGTGTTTTACTCCATGTCAACCCTACTAGAACACCGTGGTGTACCAACTGCCCACTCCTTGCGGGAGAACAGCACCTGACATGTAGCAGGTGTTCTACAAATATTTGTTGATTGGATGACTAAAAAGCAGCATCTAGAGAGAGAAGGGAAGCAGGGAGCGGTGATCAGTGTGAGTCAAGGAAGGTGGGGGTGTCAGAGAGAGGATATGGGGCACCAGCCCCCAGGACTCAGGTGTCCACGGTCTCCCTCATCAGAGTTGTGTGCCAGCAAATGTCTCGCTGGTCTCAGAAAGGGCTGAGGCTGCTGAGTCAGGCGTGGAAAGGATGTATGGACTGTCTTCTGTGGTGGAGAGCAGCAGGGTTAGCTTTTCCTTCATAGCTTGTTAATCCCCTCATCACTGCCTCATCTCTCCTCCCTCTCTTTACTGCACCAATGTCAGCCTTTGCCATCCCTGGAACTGTCTTCATCCTTTGCATTCCATTCACTGTTTTCTTGAGATCTTTTTCTTCTCATGCAGGTCGTCTCTTGCAAGGAATCATGGATCATGCCCAAGGCAGTTGTCCTGCTACCACCAAACCAGGTTCTGAATCCAAGTATAAGGGGCGCTATCTGAGGTGGACTTGTACATTTTGACTAGCTTTCTCCAAATTTCTCTTGGTACTATTTCCTTTCCTGACAGACACTGTCTCTGCTGAGGGGGTTCGTTGGCCAGAACTTCCCGAGCCACAGTCACTGTGTTGTTCCTGGTGGAGGTCTGCCTGCCGGGAACCAGGGAGGAGAAGAACACGATGGTGTTTTTAACCCTAAGAAACCCCAAAGACCCAGGAAACTCAAATGAGGCTTGGGTTTTCACGTGGCACTCTTTCTTATGCTCCCAAGCTGCCCCTTCCCAGCGGGGCAGTTGAGGTCATCACTGCCAGCCAGGTCTCTTCCCTAGAGACTTTTTGTGTAGAGAAAGGGGCAGCCCTTCCTCACCTGTCCACCTCATGCCCCTGTCCCCACCTCCTTGTGCAATTCTACCCTACCCGGCCTCTCTTCAGGTCTTCCCACCTGCCAGGGGCACATCAGAGCTCAGCATTTACAACCACCTTGCATGCCTTTTCACAAGTAAATCCCAGAGAAGCTGAAGAGCTTGTCCAAATCACACAGTAAATGGTAGAGCCGGGATGTGAAGACGGTCTAGCTGTACCAGGTCCAGGGTGGCTTCCATCCATGACTAGATGTCACCCTTCCCCAGAAGAGAATGGAAGTGTGACCCCAGCTAAAAATACTTGCAGTTCCCCCGGGTGGCCACCAGATGGCCGTGAGCACTCACTTCCAGGTGAGACTTCACTTTTTATTGAAGTAACATTGCATTATAACTTTTTAAATAAGATTTTAAAAATTTATTTATGCATGCAAGAACTGGGGTGCAGGCCAGAGGTGTGTGGGGTGAGACAGAGTGGGGAGCAGAACAGGTGGATCTACTGAAATACACTGCTGAGGGGAGCGGCAGGCGAGACTGGAGCGGTCTGCTGCCCCATGTGGGCAGCTTCCTGGCCGGCTGGGCATGGAACTCATGCTGCAGTGGCTGGTGATAACCTAATAGCGCTGTCTTTAACCCCTGCTCCACCAGGTAGGCCCGATTTTACTTCTGAAGCATCCAAATTGGAAATAATAAAACTCACACCTGCAGGGCAGTTGTGAGCATTATTGGGTGAGTAGCTGTAAATAAAAATTCTTAGTAGAATGAACATTCTGCTACTAGTCAGGAGCCTGTGGTTGTTGACTATGTATTATTAGGTACAGGTGTGGCAGTTGGGAAGGGCGCACTAGGCTGGAGATGGAGATTGGAGACTTACTGGCTTTCAAATGGGAACTGAGGGCAGAGGAATGGCCGAGATGACCCAGTAGAGCGAGAAATAGGACTCAGGACTGAATTGGGCCACCACTGATGAAGAGGGGGTAAGAAGAGGGTACAGGAGGCACAGGGGAGGGAAAAGAGGAAGAGGGGGTGTCCCTTAAGGAACCCGAGAGGTGGCTGCAGAGGAAGGAGAAGAACCAGGAGTCTGTGGCTGGGCTGGCGTGGACCTAGGGGAAGGCAGCAGAAAGGCTTCCTAGAACAGCGAGGCTGGTCACGTGGCCAGAGGGTGTGCCGCGTCAGACCGGTGGGCTGAGGGGGTAAAAGAGGGGCAAGGTGGAAGGAGAGGTGCAGAGGGAACGCTGAAGCTGGGTCGGGAATTCAGCATCGAGGGGCCAGCTGGAGCCGTCCCTGCAGACCTGCGCTCGCCAAGGCCCCACCTGTGTGAGCAGGAAAGTGACCTCGCTGCAAATCCAGATGTTGCCGCTAACTCTAGACCTCCGACTAGTCGCTCACCTCTCCTGGGCCTGTCTCCTCACCTGAGACGCAGGTCACAGCCCGCCACTCAGCACGGCTGGCTGTGAAGCTGCGGTGGGAGCATCGAGGGACTAGCGTGGGGCCAGCCCCGACCCCACCCTTTTTTGTCCCAGCCCCGCCCCAGACTGTCGAACTCAGTCCCCACCTGGCCGCGCCCACTGGCCCCGCCCACTGGCCCCACCCCGAGATGGCCACGCCCAATAGGCCCCGCCCGGGTTGCCCCGGTCCCGCTCCCCACACCGGGTCGTAGCCGAGTCCTGGAGGGACGCGCCGCGCCGCTCCCCGCGGACCCCCGCGCCCATGGCCGCGCCGGGACCCCGCGCCCTGTGGGCTGCGCTCTGCGGCGGCTGCTGTTGCCTCCTCCTGTGCGCCCAGCTCGCGGCGGCTGGTAACGCGGCGCCGGGGTTCGGTCCGGGGCGCGGGCGCGGGCTGGGGGAGCCGGCCCTTCACGCGGCCCCCGCCGGGAGCAGCCCGGGCTTGCGGGGCGCGAGGGGACTTCCCAGACGTGTGCCGGGCTCCAGGGCTCCAGGGCTCCAGGGCTCCCGGGCTGGGTGGAAGGGCGCTCTCGCTGTGTGTGGAGCTCTTTGTAGGTAGAGAGGCTCCAGGTGGGGGACATTAGGGGGCTTCAGGTGTGTCAGTGGAGGCGGCTTCAGATGTTTCTGGAAACTCCCGGTGTGTGCAAAGGGAGGGGGCTCTGGGTGAATGTGGGGGTTGCCGGGTGCATGTAACTGTGGGGAACTCCAGGTACGAAGCGGGGCTTAGGGTGTGCAGGTGAGTATGTGTGCAGAGAGTTGAGAGCTACAGTAGTGGGAAGGGGGCTGCAGCTCAAATTTAAGGAGTTCCTCCCTCCCCACTCCCAGGTAAAGGAGCCCGAGGCTTTGGGCGGGGAGCCCTGCTCCGCATGAACATCTGGCCAGCTGTCCAAGGGGCCTGCAAACATCTGAAACTCTGTGAGCATTGTGTGGAGGGGGACAGAGCACGCAATCTCACTGGCTGTGTGTGGGAGCAATGTCAGCCAGATGAACCAGGTATGGGGTTGAGCCCTCCCCAAGTTGAGGGCCTCCTGTTCTGAACCCCAGGGCCTTTGCCCCTCTTCTCCAAACCTCTCTTCTGCACCTTCTCCCACCAGGACACTGTGTGACCCAGGCTGAGGTGGCCAAGGAAGGTTGCTCTGTCTACAACCACTCAGAGTCCTGTCCAGGTAAGGGGGCTCCAATTGGCCTATGCCAAGTCAAAGGGAGGGGTCTGTGGTGTCCCCAGGCAGAGCCTGGCCCCAACGAAGGAACCAGCCTTTCTCAGACAGCAGACTGCCCGCAAACACCAGCGTCCAGTTTCAGTTCTGCCTTTAGCTCAGTGAGAACTCCCTTCCCCTCGCCGGCTGGTTTCCTCAACTGTAAATTGTTACAGCCTGGGGCTCCGAGACTGGCCGTGGATGCAGATAGGGGATTTAGCTCTTTTCATTTAAAGTGTAGTGCGGGGGGGTCTCCCTGGTGGCGCAAGGGGTTAAGCACTACACTATGAAGCAGTCCACAGACTCTGCAGCATGAGTTCGATCCCCCGGCAGCCAGGGAGGAACCCCCAGGGTGAGGCAGACCTCTCCTGAGTTGCCTGCTGCTCCCCTCTGGCCTGTACCCTCGCTCTTATATGCATAAATAAATAGATCTTTAAAAAAATAAAGTGTAGGGCCTCCCCGGTGGCGCAGCAGTTGAGCGCTGGGTTGCGAAGCTGCCCGCAGCCTCTGCAGCGCTGGTTCAATCCCCAGCTGCTCCCCGGCCACCGGAGGAGGGTCCCACATGGCACGCAGACCTCTCCTGCCGCCTGCTGCTCCCCTCAGCAGTGTACCTCGGTCCTTCTGCCTGCTCTGCTCCCCGCTCTGGCTCTGGTGAATTCTCTCACCCTCCCGCGCTTCTGGCTGTACCCAGTGCTTGTATAAATAAATAAATAAATCTTAAAAAATAAATAAATAAATGAAGTGTAGTGAGGCTTTTAAGTTCTGAAGGGAATGAGGGGAGGGCTTCCTGGAGGAGGTGGTACCAGCAATAACTCTGAAGGTAGATGTTGAGAGGGCACATTTGATGGAAGGAACAGTGTGAACTAAGGCTTAAGAGAATGTCGGATGACCTTGGATGGGGGCCTGACCTGACCTGGACCCCAGAAGTCCCACTGTTGGCCTGGGCTGGGTCTCAGTGGGAGTCGGGGGTAGGAGAACTGTTATAGATTCTCTTTCTTTCTTTTCAGCTGCCCACCACCACCCCACACATGAACCCAAGACAGTCACAACTGGTAAGTGTACCCTAGAGGAATAGGTGGGAGCACCCAAGGTGCAGGGAAGGCAGATTTGGGCTCAGGCACTGGCATGTTCTGTGACCTCAGCCCTGTGACTTCTCCCTCTGAGCACACAGTCTCATCTGGTTGTTTCCACATCCACAAGATGGGACAGAGCACACCAGACGGAGTTGCTGTGAGGGTTTTACAAGTGCGTCTACAGTGTTTAGTCTGGTGCCTGACGCATAGAAGGCTCTCAAGAAAGAGTCCCCATCCCTTCTCGCCAACACCAGTTCTAGAAACTCAGGGTGACCCTCAGGGCCCACCTTGGGTGCTTGAGGGCGTGTGGCTCAGGTTGCCAATGAACCGTCCTCAGTGAAGACCTGCTGCAGCCTCCAGGCCCGGGGGTGGGGGGGGGGTGTCACAGAACTGGTTCCCAGCAGAGCAGAGGCAGGAACCCTGCCCCCTGGCTCCCACTGCCCCTCAGGACTGGAGGTCACAGGCTTGGCAGGGATGGCTGAAGAGGCTCTTGGTTAATTAAAGCCAGAAACGTGATCTCGAGGGCTGAATTATTGATGGCTCAGCTCCCCGGCTCAGCCCAGATCAGGCTTGTGCGGCTCATTCTTCCCCTGTCTGCTTCTCTTCCCCAGTGATCTCTGGGACTCCCTGAGCGGCAGCTGGGATCACCTTTGCCCTCATGTATTCAGACCCCCTTACACAACCTGCACCTTCTGGGCCATGGAGCCAGCACCCGGCTGGGCCCCTGTCCTCTGCCCCAGAAAGATCGTGCACCGGCAGCCCTGCTCACCCTGGGCACCTGGCCCAGGACCTGAAATTGAATCCCTGGTGGGAGTTGATGGCTAACTTGGCTCAGCTGGGAGCCACCAGGCACAGCCTAGTAATTGTGGGTCCTGAGGCTGGGCAGGGGATGGGGCACTGTGAGCCTGGCTCTGTTCTGTAAGCTGACTTTGGACAGTCTGGTGCCCTCAGGGCCCAGTTTACCCTTCTGACACATATCACCCAAGGCTGAAAGGGACACTGAGCTAAGGGGGTATGATGCCTGAGTCTGGGTCTCTCCTCAACCTATTGGGCCAGTGTGGGACCGGGGGGCTGGGAGGGAGCTCAATCATCAACTGGTCCGCGTGGTCAGGAGGCCCAGAGAAGAGGGTTTGAGAGGCCTTAAGTCCCAGAGCAACTCAGGAGCCAAGGCCCCTTCTAGTCTCTGCACCAGGCACTTCCCAAGTGCCCATAAGTTTGGCGCTGACCTGGACCCACTGTTCGAGGCTCCTACAGTGAGAACTGGGGGAGCAGGTTGACTTGTGCTGGTCCTTGGAGTGAGGCTGGGGACAGGGGCCCTCAGCGACTGCTGCTCTGACCTTTCCCTACCTCTCCCCTGCAGGGGGCCCCCTAGTTCCTGAAGCCCACAGCCCTGGTTTTGATGGGGCCAGCTTCATTGGGGGTGTGGTGCTGGTGCTGAGCCTGCAGGCAGTGGCCTTCTTTATGCTGCGCTTCCTCAAGGCCAAGGACAGCACCTACCAGACACTGTGAGTACCTGGCCCGCCAGCGGCCCCGCTTTCCTCCCCCAGCCCTGTGGGTCCCCACTAGTGCAGGGCCTTGTCTTCCCAAGGGGCAGTGACTCTCACCCGGTACCCCACATGTGACCACACCCCTTCTCCCTGCTGTCGTTACGGGATTCTCTGCTAGGTGTGGGCTGGGGCCAGGACTCAGGCTGGGCATGGTGTCTGGGAACCCCACTGAGCCCACCTGTCTTTGTCTCCTCATGCTGCCGGCAGGGAGGAGACCCAGTAGGTGACAGCCCAGGCAAGCCTCTGGCCTGCTGCTGTGGGCCATGGGCAGGAGCCTGGGCCACGTGTGCAACTTGGTTTTCCTCTGGGAAGGGGAGCTGCTCTGAGCCCCCGTGTGCTGTGTGTGCTGTGGGGAGGGTCGCCACAGCCTCTGTTAAGTGTTTGCTCTTCCAGCTGCACCTGCTCTCTGGGGTTCTTGGCCTGCCTGAGTGGGGCCGCTACCCTGAGTACCCTCTTTGTCTGGCCTCTGCAGAATCTGACCCCCCTTGGGCCTGGATTCCACACTGAGGGGAAGGAGGATGAAGAGGCTGCCCTCTTGGCTCCCTTGTGGGCATGGGAGGTGGGAAAACCTTTGGCCACCAATTTTTGGCCCCCGTGGGCACCTAGCAGTTTCAGCACCCCGTGCCTGACATCCCCTCCCGTCCTGGGCCTGGTACCCGCAGCTGAGCACATCCCTCAACCACCTCTAGGCTCCCCACCATCCCTGCAGGACTCCCTGCAGCACTGGGCGCTGTTCCCGCTCTTCCCACCCACTGGCCTGGGCACTCCCCCCAAATAAAGGAGCTCTTTCCAGCACTGCGCTTTATGTCCCTTGTCTTGGGCTTTGTGGGGTGGGGTTGAGTGTGGGGCGGGGCGGCTACTGTCCTCTTCTTCAGGGGACTTCAGCCTTGAACTTTGCTTTGAAATGGCCGACCCCCCTCCACCTCTTTCCTGAGGAGGGCCAAGGGACGCAGACTCAGAAAGGTCATCGCCCTTGGTCAGGTCATGTGGTGGGACCCGGCAGGGCTGGGATTAGAATCCAAGCTTTTCTGACTCAGAACTGCCCTGCAGAGGCATCTGCAGGCCACTTGGCTCCTAAAGTTGGCTCTTGGCCCCAGAGCCAAGATGGAGAGGCCTCTTGGACCCTCAAACACTGTTTCTGGCCTTCCTCCAACCCCCTCCCCACCCCCGGGCCCTCAGGAAGGCCCACCCACACCCACCTCACACCCACACCCCATCCCTGGCACAGACGTCTTCCCGACTAATAACATCTTCTACCCATTGCTGGGGCACTTGCTGGAAAACAGGCATGTGACTGAGAGTCCATGTTTAGTCCCGTGACCTGAAGGGCTAGGAAGCTGGCGGGGAATGGAGGTGGCTGAGAGTCAGTTGCTGGAGCCCAGCTGCTCCATCAACTGGAGCAAGTCATCGCACAGCCATGGGCCCCAGTGTCCTGTAAGGTGGGTGGGGGTGGGGGGATTGGTAACAGCTAGATCCATATCAGTGGGTTGTGGGAGGACAGTTCAAGTGCAGGTGCCCTCTGCTTCCTTCCCCAGTACCCTGTCCACCCTTCCAGCTGTGCATCCTGCCATCTGCGCCTCTTCCTCCCCAGCCCCCGCCTCCCTGCAGGCTCTCTGCTCCAGCTGCAAGGGCTCTGAAGGGCCTTGTGGTCCACAGGGAGCTCCAGCCACTCGACCTCACAGGGGCTCACCTCCTACGCAAGGCACCCTCCCTGTCCACACTCACTTTCATCAAAGCACCCCATCCTCTCAGATGGTTTCCTCCCCCTAGAATACCCTCCCAGCTATTTGGATCTAATCTTGTCACCCAGCCTGCCTCTCTCTTCTTCAAGCCTTTATACTGCAGTTTCTCCGGCCTGGACCACCTCTCCTGGCTCCTCCAACTGGCACTTAAGTGCTGGCAGGAATAATGCCTGTTCCCTCTGGGGCCAAGGGAGGAAATGCCCCCACCTCCTGCTGGCTTTCCACTCCGTTAAGGAAATTTCTTTATGGGATTATTTTTTTTTTCAAAAGCAGTGAGTGTAAGAAAAAAAAGGACTGTGCAAAAGTCTTTGTAAAGAGAGGAGTCACTCTTCCCTCTGGACCTATTTCTGGCCCAGAAATGACTTGGGTGAACACTATGATTCAGACCTTTTTCTGGGAATTTACAACACACACATACACACTTAGTTTTGTAGAATATAGAATGGGAGCATGATCTATCTCCACATATCTGTGTAGAGTTCTGCAACTTGGTCCCTTTCGTTACAGATCAGATTTGCCCCATGGCTTGTCCCGATGGTAAGGATTTATTTGCTGAATCCTGTCAATGTCCACTTAGACCTTTTTTTTGAAAGATTTATTTATGCATACAAGAACTGGGGTGCAGGCCAAAGGTGTCAGGGGCGAGAGGATTCACCAGAGACAGAGTGGAGAGCAGAACAGGCAGATCTCCTGAAATCCACTGCTGAGGGGAGCAGCGGGTGAGACAGGAGAGGTCTGCTGCACCATGTGGGTAGCTCCCAGCCAGGAGATCGATCTTGTGCTGCAGTGGCTGTGGGCAGCTTCATAGGCTGCATCTAACCCCCTGCGCCACTACAGAGGCCCCCACACTTAGGTCTTTTTGGTGTTAATTGTCATAACAGTGTCATGATAAACAGGTTTATCTGCTGATCTCTTGTGGGAGAGCTTGGGGAGGACATTTCCTAAACTGGAACTGCCCATCTCACAGATCTGTTTGGCAAACTCGTCTCTACCTTCCCCGGTACCCTCTCGTGCCCAGTACTCCCCAACCCCACAAGCGCTGGACCTGGCACAGAAGAGCTCCACAGGAGGGTCTGACTGAGTGAGTGAATGAATGAATGAATGACACAACAAACAAGTGAATGAGCCCCCCACTTCCTCCCCTATCACTGAAGTCCCTCTCCAGTTTAGACCTCACATCTGGACCATGGCTGCTGCCCCCTCGCTGGCCTCCCAGCTTCCAGGTCTGCCTGGTTGCCCGTGTGACTGGCAGCTCTATCCTGGGCTCTGCTGGGGGCTCACTGAGGAATTTGAGGTTGGGCGTGAAGCACTTTGCTAAGAGTGCTTCTTCCTGGCAGGGGGCATAGGACTTTGGCAAAATCTCTGTTTCTATTCATGGTGTCAAGAATGCATATGTCATGTCTCGTCTGGGCCTCAGTTTCTCCTTGTCTGTTCATCCTTTCAAGCCATATGGAAGTACTTGCTTTGCTGCGGGTTTGTAACCCAGGTCCATTAGTAACTGTGAGCAGGCCTGTGTGAGGAGGGGAAGCAATATCCAAGCCGCAGCCACATGACCTGGGTGCAGGTGGTGGTAGTGATCACTTCATGCTGTTGACTTCATGCAGGGAAGGATTCCTAGTGATGGCATTAGGGCCAGACCTTTGTGGACAGGTGGAGGTCAAGGTAGCGAGGAAGAGGACATTCCAGATGGAAGGCACAGAATGAGCCAAGGTTCAAAGGCAGAAAGACCCTATGTGAATGCAGATGGCGGGGGAGCCTGAGGGCCAGAATCAGAGATTGACTCCATATTGGTTGGGCAGGGCAAAGATAATGCCCATTTTGTTGGGGGTTGAGGGAGGAAATGCTCCCACCTCTTGCTGGCTGCAGACTGGGTGAGGTGTGCTTGGGAAGGGACAATAGGAGGAAGACTTGTTCCTTGTCCTTCCAGCCTGGCCCCTTTACAAACTGGCATCCTCCCTCGGGGGTGCCAGCAAGATGGACCAACTGTGGACTGCACGCTCCCTCCTGCTCCTCTTGCCGGGGGCGCCTAACTGCCTGTGGACCCCGGAGTAACCCAGCTGCCCAGGTAGTGGTCTAGGGTGTCCTCTCTACTGACCCCCCTCTCCAGCCCCTCCCCGGGTGTTCTTCTCCCACCCAGGCTCACTAGCCTCTGGGAGCAGGGGGCAGGCCTGATCATCTGGGCTCGGCTGTAAATGTATGCAAATACATGCAAATGACGGCACCAAACCTTGCCAGCCCCAGAGGCAAGCTAGACTCTGGGAGATGGAGAGAGGATTGCAGAGGCCTCTGCGAGAGATATGCCCAGTCTTCCATGCCCACCCTGTGCCCACCTGGCCCAGTGACTCCCCGCAGAACCCAGGGAACTGGAAGCCAGCAAAGTTGTCCTCCTTCCCAGTTGTCCTGGAGCCCAGGAAGTCCTGGGGAGAAGGGAGCTCCAGCTCCTCAAGGCGAGAGGAGCCGGGGAGCCTGGGGATGCTGCAGTTACTGTCTGAGCTGAGGGGCCATGACAAAGGGGTAAGATGCCTACTATGCAGGTTCCGGGCTGGACCCTCAGCACCCTTAGCAAAATGACTTCACGCCCGACCTCAGATCCCTCAACGGGCCCCTGGCAGGCCCAGGAAACAGCTGCTGATACAGCCAGTCACACGGGCAGCCCCGCCCGACGCAGGGCAGACCTGGATGCTGGGAGGCCAGGGTTGGTGGCATCCCTCCCATTTTTTTTTTTAGATTTTATTTATGCATACGAGAACTGGGGTACTGGCCAGATGTGCAGGGGGTGAGAGCATTTACCAGAGACAGAGTGGGGAACACAACAGGCAGACTGTAATACACTGCTGAGGGGAGCAGCGGGCAAGCCAGACAGGGTCTGCTGTGCCATGTGGGTAGCTCCCTGGCCGGGGATTGAACTCATGCTGCAGTGGCTCCAGATAGCTTCTTAGTGCTGCGTCTTAACCCCTGTGTATCAGGGAGGCCCCTGTCCCTCCCATTTTGCTGAGGGGGAATGTGAGACTCAGAGAGTCTAGTCATCTGCCCATGGCCGAAAAGCCAGGAAAGGGTACTCTGGGATTTCACTTCTGGTTCCAAATCCCTCTGTGCTTTTTGGCAGTGGGCTTGGGTGGGGACTCGGGCATCTCTGCCTCTGAGATTTCAGGGCCCCTTGGGCCACCCAGCAAGATGGGCCCCAAGGGAGATCCTGGTGAGTGTGTAGCATTAGAGGCTCCGTTCCTTCCCTGGCATTTGCTTCTGGGTGGGAGGGGGATCTGCTTGCTGTCAGCTACTGTGGCCTCCCCATAGTGGGCTGGAGGCTGGAAGGAGTGGGGAGGGTTTAGTGGGAGACCTGGACACCCTCCCTTCAGGTGGTTCATGGACCTTGCTCTGGGGATATGCAGATCTTAGCGCCAACACTCCATCTTTCCCTGGGCTGGAGACCCAGGGACCAGGCTCCAGTGCCAGGAGGGTGAGGCAGCTTCCGCAGGAGCTGGAACTTGGAATCAGGTGGAACTTGGAATCAGGCGGTGAATCACCTGGCATGGCCCAGCCCTCTTGAGGGGCCCAGAGGAGCTGAGGTCTCCTGGGGTTCCACACTGGGTTGAGGAGTAATTTAGGGCCCACCTCAGTTTACCTCCCAGTCCCCAGGCGCTGCCAGGAGCTGCTGAGCCAGGGTGCTACCTTGAGCCTCTGAAACCACTTGTGCCTACCCCAGGTCAGGGTCCTCCCAGTCTTTTGTGACATGGAAACCACGGGGGGGGGGGGGGGGGGGGGGGGGGGGTTGGAGGCAGCAGACTACTGAGTGTCAGGAAGGGACTTGCAGGCCAGGCCTACTTCTTCCCCTTGGCCCTTAGGGGGAGCCAGGGCCTTCTGGAGCCAAGAAGCATTCCTTAGCATAATCGCTCACCAGCATTGGCTGCGCTCCCAGAGGGCCTGAAGAAGCGCCAGCAGGCTTCACAGAGGAGGTGCTACTTGCAAAGGCCTTGAAGGCTGTGTAGAAGGTCTCTAGACAGAAAAGGTACAGAAAGACCAAGGCATGGAGGCGGGGAGTACAAGAGGGACTGTGGGAGGGGGTGTCAATGGGAATGAGCTGAGAGCAGGTATGTGGTCCTGAGGTCCACTGGTGTGGGTCAAACCTGGATTAGGATGTCTACAAAGGGCGCTGAATGACTGACGGGAACATGGTGGGTGACTGGGAGCCAAGGAAGAGTTTTAGGCAGAGGAGGGATAAGACTGTGTGTTCAAAAGAAGACGCAAGCTCCCCTGTGGAAGCGCATTGCAGTGGGGATGGGGGCCATTACGGACACAGGAGGACAGCAGGGGCAGGAGAAGGCAGTGGGCAATAGAGTAGAGGCACTTAGACTGAAAGATATTTAGGGGAGAAGTTCTACAGGGGCTGGGGATTACTTGGCTGAAGGAGGAAGTAGGGGGTCCGGGTGACATCAGGGTGTGTCTGAGAGTCCAGCTTGGGCCTGTGGAGCTGACCTCTCTGTTCTGATATCTCAGTTCTTATCATAATAAATCAAAGCAATTTATTTTGAATGTGAATCCCAGGATGGGGACGACGTTTCTGTAATTTCAGTCTCCCCGGGATTGCAAGGTTTTGGTGTGAAGTTGAATGTCAGTGAAACTTAATAAGGGAATGTAGTTCAGTGACATATCACAGGCAAATCTCACTTGCGTTCATAGTTACCATCAGGCTCTCAAGGCAAAGAGGGGGGACCCCCATCCCTCACAATGCACCCACTCTCAGCTGCCACCACCCCCTGCTTCTCCTAGCCCCACACCCAGCCTGGAACAGGGGCAGGTTGGCTGGCCTTATCTGCCTCCCTAGGTCTTCCAGAGGCGACAGGGTGGCTCCATAGATTTCTTCCACTTGTGGTCCTCCTACAAGGCAGGTTTTGGGAGACAGGAGACAGAATTCTGGCTGGGGGATGAAAATTTGCACCAGCTTCTCTCCAGGGTAAGTTCTTGCAACCTCCAGGGAACCTGAGGGGCAGTCCCCTGGCATGCTGTGTCCCCGCTGGGGACTCTGAGGGTTGGTCCTTCCTCTCCCCCCACCCAGGTACCTGGCAGCTGTGGGTGGAGCTGGTGGACTTCAGTGGCAACCGCACCTTTGCCCACTATGAGACCGTCCACCTCCTTGGGGAGGCAGATTGCTCCCAGCTGGTGCTAGCCAAATTCTTAGGGGGCACTGCAGGTGAGTGAGCCTGAGGTGGGTCCTGGAGTAGGGAGCCACCTCCCTGGCTCCTTTTCCAGCACTCTGTGGCCTCCATGAATGACAGGGCACGTCATTCCCTTCTGTGGGCCTCAGTTTCCTCATCTGCGAAATAGCAATCTTGAGACACGGTGGCTCAGGAATGAAGAATTTGGGCTCTGGAGGCAAAGAATCCTGAGGTTTTTTTTTTTTTTTTTTTTTTTTTAAGATTTATTTATTTATGGGCCTCCCCTGGTGGCGCAGTGGTTGAGCGCTGGGCTGCGAAGCTGCCCGCAGCCTCTGCAGCGCTGGTTCGATCCCCGGCCACCGGCGAGGGTCCCACATGGCGCGACAGACCTTTCCTGCCGCACCCACTGCTCCCCTCAGCAGTGACTTTCGTCACTCTACCTGTTCTGTTCCCTTCTCTGGCTCTGGTGAATTCTCTCACCCTCCCGCGCTTCTGACTGTACCCAGTGCATGTATAAATAAATAAATAAATCTTTAAAAAATTTTATTTATTTATGCATATAAGAGCTGGGGTACAGGCCAGAATTGTGGGTGAGAGGATTCACCAGAGACAAAGCGGGGAACAGAACAGGCAGACTGACGAAATATACTGCTGAGGGGAGAAGTGGGCGAGTCAGGAGAGGTCTGCTGTGCCATGTGGGTAGCTCCCTGGCTGGCAGGGAATCAAACTCATGCTGCAGTGGCTGCAGATTGCTTCATAGGTTGTGTCTTAACCCCTGCACCACCAGGAAGGCCCAAGAATCCTGAGTTTAAATCCTGCTCTGGGTCCTCCCTGGTGGCACAAGGGGTTAAGACGCAACCTATGAAGCTAGCCTAGCCACAGTCACTACAGCAGGATTTTGATCCCCAGCCAGGGAGCTACCCACATGGTGCAGCAGACCTCTCCTGTCTAGCATGCTGCTCCCCTCAGCAGTGTATTTCAGTCAGTCCACCTGTTCTGTTGCCCACTCTGTCTCTGGTGAATCCTCTCACCCCCCCCCCTAACTCTGGCCTGTACCCCAGTTCTTGTGCATAAATAAATCTTAAAAAAAAAAATCCAGATCTGTCATTTACTCTGTGACCTTGGGCAGGTCCCTTCCATGTCAGAGCCTCAGTTTCCTCCCCTGTAAATGGGCAAGAGGCTAGGAGGGGCCTGATGATGTGAGCATGATCTGCTCCAGAGGAGGAACCAGGCAAGGGTTTTCTTTTTCTCAGAGAAATAATGACTGTTGAGGAGAGACCTGAAAGAGGGAAGTGGTTATGAGAAGGTGCCTCAGGCAACCCCCTTCCTGCCCGGGCATCGGGACGTCCTCCCCAGCCCTCACTGGCAGAACTGCTGAAGCTGCTGATGGATCTGGGAGGAGGCAGAGGAGTAGAGGCAAGCTGGGGCTTCTGGGAGGGGACAAGGCAGGAGAAAGACAAGTGGCTTTGGAGTCACCATTGTGACTAGGGGACCTTAGTCAAGGGGACTGTGGCCAAATCCCCTGGCCCTGCCATGCTGTTTCTCATGGGGCCTGGTAACATGCACCTCACAGTTGCTCTCAGGCCCCTATGAGCTCATCTCTTCAAGGCTGCTGGGCATGGCACCCGCCACCAGGGTGCCCCCCATCCTTTCCTTGCCAGGGGATTCTGCGCTTCCACAATGGGAGAACCCCTTTGCCACCAAAGACACTGCCCATGATATGAGCTACAGCCGCTGCGCAGCTGGTGGCACAAGGCCTGTTATCAGTCCAATCTCAACAGGCTCGATGTGGAGTCGGGGCTGCTGCCTGCAAGCATGGCATCGACGGGGCCTCAGGCCGCAGCCGGGGCCACACTTACTGCAGGGTTCTCAGGATGCTTCCCTCGGGCACCCTCTGATAAGCACCCTTATCTCTTCTGGGCAAGCTTCTGAACCCCCCAGTTACCCTTCCCCATTGTTGTCTCTGCTCACTCCACATTTAAAAAGAAAATTTTAAAAACAAGACAAAAAAGTTAAACACACACACAAAGAAAAAGTCGTTTTAACCCTTACCTGGCTTGCAAGGTAATTACTGGGAGAAGCTCAAGAGGGCAGACCAAGACCAGCTCCAGTCCAGGAAGACCTGTCTCTAGTCCTGAAGATGGAAAGGGGGGGCCTCATGAGGCAGTGAGGTTTCCGCCTCTGAGGTATGCAGGCAAGGCCAGAGGAGCACTTAGTAGAGGACTTGGAAGGGGAGCCACGCATCCTCTGACAAGGTCCTCTGGTTCTGTGAGTGGATGGTGTTTTTGTTTTTTGGTTGGTTTTTTTTTTTTAAGATTTATTTATGCATACAAGAGCTGGGGTACAGGCCAGAGGTGTGGAGGTGAGAGGATTCACCAAGACAGAGTGGGGAACAGAACAGGCAGACTGACCGAAATACACTGCTGAGGGGAGCAGCGGGCAAGCCAGATGGGGTCTGCTGTGCCATGTGGGTAGCTCCCTGGCCAGGGATCGAACTCATGCTGCAGTGGCTGTGGATAGCTTCATAGGTTGCGTCTTAACCCCTTGCACCACCAGGGAGGCCCAAGTGGATGGCTTTTTGATGAGAGTTGCACAGCTTTCTCACTCTCTCTGTCGCGGTGCCTAAATTGTGCGATTGCCTCCCCGGGCTCTGCTTGTGAGCAAGGTCTCAGTCTCTGCTGCTTCTTGCCTCTCCCCTTCCCAGCTGTTTGAACTCAGGGTCAAAGCAGGGGAGGTACATCTTCTTCCATGGGGCAACAGGGCTGTGAAAGGGCTGCTACTGAGCTCGCTTTAACCAAGCAGTTAATTTGCCGGAGTCTCATTTTAGAAAGATGCAAGAGCAATAAATAGTTAAGAGTCTGACACCTGCAGTCTGACAGGTAGTTCTGGGTTTGCATCCTGCTCTGTCATGTAGCTGAGCGATCTTGAAGTTACTCAGTCTATCTAAGCCCCCAGTTCCTGATTTCAGAGTCGACTGAGGTTACACTAGCTTGCTGCCTCGTTCATCACACTCAAAGGTCAAGGATTCTTGGGGATTTGGAGCCGGGAAGCTGTGGTGGAGGTCAAGGGTAAGCAGGGCTCCACAGTAGATTGGATGCTGGGAAGGTAGGCCCTCTGACAGAAGGGCAGGCGCCCCAACTCCCCCGCGAGCGAGTTGGCAGCTCCTGGCAGGCAGAGGGCAGGCCCCCCATTCCTGCCCTTCTGTGCCCAGGACGCCCCTGGGGAGCAAGCCCTCTTCCTTCATTCATTCCACAGACCCCCGCGGGACAGGGCCTGCGCTTCGCACGTCTCCCCCGGCCCAGGCCTGGGCACGCACCTCAGCGGCGCCCGCTCAGAGCAGCCCACGGTGGTTGCCTGCCCAGGGGCACAGGCTGTTCCGGAAGCCGCCGGGCTCGGAGGTTCTGGCGCAGAGGAGGGAGGGCAGAGGGCGCGCCCCGGGCCGCTGGGGAGTGGTGCTGCCCAGGGCCGAGGGTGGAGCTTTCCCAGCCAGCCGGGAAAGGCTGGGCGCGGCTTACAAGTGCAGACAGGAGCCTGCGACGGGGCGGCCTCCTGCGGACTCCGGGGAGCCGTGGGGCCGAATCCCGGATCCCTCACGTGACTGAACCGCGGGTCATGGATGCTCCAGAAACGCGGGACCCCATCCCCGATTTCCGATATTCGGGGTTCTGACTTCGCCCTGGACTCCAGATCCCCGGAACGGGACCTGCGTCCGGACTCCAGAGCTCCGCATCCCCAGGAGACGCCCGAGCCCCACCGACCCCCGCCTCCGAGATCCCTGGCTCCCGCCCCGCCCCGGGTGCCCGGGAGCGGGCGCCTGAGGCCCGAGCGCCCCCGCATGGCCGGGCCGTGCCCGCGGTCCGGAGCCCCGCAGTGCGCGGGGAGCTGCTGGCAGGACCCGCTGGCGGAAGCGCTGAGTCGGGGCCGGGCGCACGCGGCGCCCCCGGGCCGGGGCTGCGCGCGGGGCCGGCCGCTCAGGGTGGTCTACGTGCTGACCCGCGAGCCGCCGCCCGGGCTGGACCCCGAGGCGGGGGCCGAGGCGGAGCCGCTGCCCCTGCGCTGCCTGCGCGAGGCCTGCGCGCAGCTCTCCGGGCCGCGAGCGCGGCCGCAGCTGCGCAGCCTGCCCTTCGGCACCCTGGCGCTGGGGGACACGGCGGCGCTGGACTCCTTCTACAACGCGGGTGAGCCGGCCGGCGGGGCGGGGCGGCGCGGGGAGACCCCAGAAGTGCGCGGGTGGGGGCGGGAGGGAAAGTAAAGCTGAGGCGCTGGAGGCGAGGCCGTGATGAAAGTGGAATTTGGGGGGTCCGGTGCCGCCGGGCTCGGGCTGGGATTGAGCGGCTCTAGGTCCCGCCCCGGGGCTCGGGGCTGCGGGGCGCTCGGCTGGGATTGGGGCGCGGCCGGCAGGTCTCTGGAGAGGGGCTGGGGAGCTCGGTCTCTGGATGATCTCGCGCGGTGCCAGGAGGGCGCTCCTGGGGGACTGAGGTCCAGGGGCTCTGCTGACCACCTCCGAGACCGGGCTGGCGAGGCAGAAGGGGAAGCAACGGCACTGGATTCGGGGCGAGGGAATTTAGGGAAACGAGGCCCCGTAGTTCCGAGCGGGTGGGCGGGGCTGGGGGCGCGGCAGGGTCGTCGGGGCGGGGCCCAAACTCCCAGTCGCCTCCCCGGACGCCCCGCCCCCGACACTAATTCGTTCTTCTGAGTCCAGGAACCGAACTTGCCAGTGGTAGGGAAAAGAGCGGCCTGAAAATGAAGGCTGCCCTGACGAGCACACGCAGCAAGGCAGGCTCACGTGTTGACTCACGCGGGCCCTGGGGGACACACACACACAGATGCAGTCAGACACGGTAAACTTTACACACACACACACACACACACACACACACACAAAGTGCTGGTGCGCAGCCCAGGGAAGGGGACGTCTGTGTTTGCACAACTCCTGCCCCTCAGGTGGCCTGGCATGGCTCTGGGCTGGCGCACAGCCACCCCTTACCCAGAGCACCCCGGCTCTGAACAGTGGGGTGAGTGTCCCAGCCTGTGGCTCAACTCCTCCCGCAGCACCGCAGGCAGCAGTACCTCTGAGCGTCAGAGGGACCCTAAAAGGAGGAAACTGAGGTCCAGAACAAAATTGGACCCTGCGGGAGTCCCCCAGGAAGGCAGGGAGTGCAGGATGGGTCCCGGGCCCTCCGGCTGAGAGCTGGGCTTCGGGGCTCAGTCCCACACATGTGCCCGCAGATGTGGTGGTGCTGGAGGTGAGCAACTCCCTGGCCCAGCCCTCCCTGTTCTACCACTTGGGCGTGCGTGAGAGCTTCAGCATGACCAACAACGTGCTCCTCTGCTCCCAGGCTGACCTGCCTGACCTGCAGGCCCTGCGGGTAGGTGGCCGGGGGGCCTGGTGGGGCACGCACATGGCTGGAGTGGGCTGAAGTGGGCTGGTGGGATGGAGTATCTGACTGTCTGTCCCCTGCAGGAGGATGTTTTCCAGAAGAACTCGGTGAGCTGAATCTATCCCTCACTCCAATGTGCCCTTCACCCTCCACTGTGACCTCTGACCTCCAGTCCCTTTTCTGGCTTCTCAGTCACCTCTGACCTCCCTAATGCCTCCTGACAGCCTGTGACCTTCTGTTCCCTATTGTCTCCCTTCATGCTCCCCTTTGACTCCAGTCCCCACTGATGCTGACCTCTGACCCTCTCACCATCCCCCTCTAACCTGATGCTGACCTCTGACCTCTACTGATTCTTGCCTCCCTCCCACCAGGATTGCATTGGCAGCTACACGCTGATCCCCTATGTGGTGACAGCCACTGGTCGGGTGCTGTGTGGTGATGTGGGCCTCCTGCGTGGCCTGGCTGACGGGCTAGTGCAGGCCGGGGTGGGCACCGAGGCCCTGCTCACGCCCCTGGTGGGCCGGCTGGTGCGCCTGCTGGAGGCCACGCCCACGGACTCTTGGTAATAGGGGCCGCAGAGAGGGAGCACAGGAGGTTGGTGAGGGGGCAGAGGGCTGGGGCTGAGGAATAGGCCCCACCAATCTCTCTCCCTCCCTTCTCGGCGGCGGGCCTCAGTGGCTACTTCCGGGAGACCATTCGGCAGAACATCCGGCAGGCGCGAGAGCGGTTCAGCGGGCAGCAGCTGCGGCAGGAACTGGCTCGTCTGCAGCGGAGACTGGACAGTGTGGAGCTGCTGAGCCCCGACATCATCATGAACCTGCTGCTGTCCTACCGAGACGTGCAGGTGTGAGGAGCCGGCGGCAGATCCCCGCGTCACTCCTTCGGGGCCGCTCTGAGCAAATTACCTGCCACTTGGAACCTCAATGCCCTCGTTTGTAGCAGAGGACGGTGGTGTCACTGTCTCCCAGGACAGGAGGGAGGCTGGGGCACAGGGGGCTCTCCATGTGAGGATGGGGAAGGTGGGGTGTTGGGGTGGGAGGGGATCCCAGGGAAGGTTTTGCTCAGGGTCTGGGGGAGCTGATGGGACCCAGGGCCTGACGTTCCCTTATGCAGGACTACTCGGCCATCATCGAGCTGGTGGAGACGCTGCAGGCCCTGCCTACCTACGATGTGGCGGAGCAGCACAACGTCTGCTTCCACTACACCTTCGCCCTCAACCGGTGGGTGACAGCCCCAGGGGGGCGTGGGTCTCTGCGATGTGAGGTCGTTGCTCTCTACAGTGGCTGCTGTCTGGGGGTTTGCTGGCCACTCTGATGTCAGAGGGCCCCGTCCTGTTATTGCTGACTGGGGGGTGGGGTGGGCGCTGGCCCTGGAGTGGCCACAGCTGTCAAGGTCAGTCACAGCGGCGAGGAATCACTTCCATCTGGGTTCACTGCCTCAAGAGAGGTCAGGGCTGACTAATGTCCCTGCTATTTGGGGTTCATCGCTGTCAGTCCTGGGAAGGGTCTCGACTGTTCTGAAGAGTGGGCCAGGGCCCTGCGGCCCCCCAGCCCATGTTCCCCTTCCCCTAGGAGGAACCAGCCTGGGGACCGGGAGAAGGCCCTGGCGGTGCTGCTGCCGCTGGTGCAGCTGGAGGGCGTGGTGGCGCCCGACCTCTACTGCATGTGTGGCCGGGTCTACAAGGACATGTTCTTCAGCTCCGGCTTCCAGGACACCGGGCACCGGGAGCAGGCCTATCACTGGTGAGAGGCATGAGCGAGTGGG